CACGCAGACAGATGGGTAAACATATTTATACCCCTCCTCCTTCCTAATCACTAGTGAGGAGCTGCAATGTTTTTGCTGCCATTCCTCGCATTGTTTGTCTCACTCTATTTATAAAGCGTCGTCACAGGGCTTGTTAGGGGCTCAGACATGCCACTCCTTGTGTTGTTTCAGAGATTACTGGTTGGGTAAAAAGTGATATCTGACTGACAGCTGCTCATGTGGTGCTGCCGGCGCCCTCCTCCCTTGCCTGTAGTCCTCTGACGTGGTTGTTGTCAAGTTCTCCGTCGAGAGTTGCACATTTTTCTGTTGGAGTGAAGTCTTCAGACTAGGGTGACAAAATTTCTTCACTGATTGATTGGCATGCCAGTGGACGGTGGTGGTCTGTAATGATCCGGAGTAATGAAACATGATACATTTGCTTCTCAGTATCCAAAGTGGTCATGGAGCTCAGACAGCATGTGACAGGAGGACTGAAAAATGATGGGATTTGCAACCCATGACAGTTATTCTTCTCAAGTTGTGCAAATGCTTCTGGATTAAAACTGGTAAGGTGTGATTCACCGAAAAATCTCTGAGGACAGAAGCAGTCAGCGAGACAGATGGGTATATAAGTCCACCCTAAATAGTGCCCAGCTGAAATTAAGTGGCGTTGTTTTTGTCTGCAACAGCGTAGATATCCGCTCTGTAAATCACTTGTCCTGTGTTGTCCTTTAAAAAAAAAAAACTAAACCAAAATAATAAATTTTTTATTACATAAATTCAATGTAATACTATTAGGTATCCCTCTACGTAGATGGCCACATTATTTTGATACAACCAATCAAATCTTATATAAAGCAGTATATCAGCATTGTAGCACTGTGGCTTTCCTGCTAAAGTCTCCTTCTTATCTAACTTGGTCTAAATGGTGGAAGCAATTTTAAATGGGGTTTTGTTATTTCTGAACATAGCTGAGCTTACAACCATGCCATTGAACCCTAGTCACCTCCAAGAAAAGAGCTTGTCTCCACATTGGTGGGAAAACAAACTGTAACAAACTGGCCTCCCACACTCGAAGTGATCTGTGATGTGGTGAAACTTGATGGTACTTTAGCCAAGAAATCTTGCATCTCGTTCCAGGGAGACGTCTGTCTTTCATGGAACACCTAAATGCTTATCCTGTCTATCCCTTGCTGCTTTTATAGCTTCACAGTATCGCTGTCACATGTTGGACCCATCATGTTTCCCTGGAAATCAGCCTGGGGGCATGTGCCTGGAAGTCGAGAGGGGAGCAGTGAGTTGACCTTTCGTCATAAGGGTTATGCGAGACCCTTATGACGAGGGTGTTTGGGTCAGGTGGATAGGGTGGTGGGTGTATATGAGATACTGTAGCTTCTCGTGGCCTCTCATGCTTGTTCCTTGTAGTCTAGCAGATGGGTGATTATGAGGGAGGGAGGTTTGTCTCCCTTTTTCAACTGTACAAATGATTTTGGATTGAAGCTTGTAGCCAGTGTTTTCAGTCTAAATTTATTTGTTACTCATGCTAGTGTGTGGCTTTATAGGGTTAGCAATATTAGTTGGTCAGTCTACCACTTTTGTATAGAATAAAATATCCTATTACATATGAAGTTTGGTGAAATTATTTATGGTCTCCAGAGGTTATTTTCATATATTCAGGGATCTCAACATCTTCTAGGTCGATACTTCATAAGATATAGTCTAGGGATCCCTGTATGATAAGATTTAATTGTTCCATAACTGCTTGATTTACAAATTAAAAGTGAAGGCATCCCTATACATATTCTCATGGGGCTAACTTCAAGTAAATTAAATAATAGTGAAATTCAAATATCTGCTATTTTTTGGGGAACCCCTAGAACCCACTCAATGAACCCCAGGTTGAGAAAAACACTGCTCTACTGACACCATGAAGTTGACATCTGTGGAAAGCTGAGTAAAATGTTTCAACCACTATTGGATGTATTGCCATTTAATTTGGTACACACGTTCATGTTCCCTTAAGGATGAAAAGCATTCACTTTGGTGATCCTCTGATCTTTCATCTATTATCAAAATGTCACTTTGGCACTGTTTAAACATGCTAAACTAGATTGGGGAACATGGAAAGTGTTACCTGCCAAACATAAGCATGTTAGCATTGCAATTGTGAGCGTGTTAGCATGCTGACATTTAGCTCAAAGAACCACCTAAGTATCTTTGCCGAAGTACAGCCTCACAGAGCTGCTACCATGGTTATAGTCACTTAGTCTTGTTGCCAACAAATTCCCACAAATTACAATTACTTATTATTATTACTTATTGCTCCTAACATACTTTAGAGGGGAAGTCCACCAGTTTTACACTTCAAAGTATGTTTACAGGTCTTGGGGTGTATGTGAAAAACATTATATAAAGCCTTTTGAAGCTTCTGAAGGACCTGGATAAAATCTGATAAATCACCTGACGCTAACTGCTTTGAGTGAGTTAGTCGGGTCTGAAGGCTAGTGTGGAGGGAGAAAGAAGTGAGGTTACCAGACCTCTGCAGCCTGCTACTCATCTCTGCTTGAGGCTAGCGGCTAGAAGCTAGTGGCTTGAGGCTACACTAGCTGCTGCTAGCATAAGAAACCCAAATCTGTTCAGTCAAGTAAATTGAGTTAAGCTACCAGGTTTTTCCAAGAAAGAATACATGGAATACAAAATACTTTGATTTTGATGCTGTTTTTAAACTGTCAGTCAGGAGTCTAACAGTGTGGTTGGAGTGCAATGCTAAATTGGTGGAGTACTTTTGTAATTCTTGTCAGGTGGAAAAAATGAAACAGAAATAAACCTTTATTTGACAATATCTGACATTTAAATTTGCTATGCTTACAAAATTCATCCATCATATCAGAGATTGGTTACACTGATTAATCAACCATGAACCACTGTCTCAAGTAATTTTCTATCTTAACTGTAACTGATATTGCAATTGTGGGCTTATTAGGCCAAAACGTTGAATTTAATGTCCTGTTTGTAAGGCAGTGAGATGAAGGTGGATATGGAGTTAAACAGCTGTGTGTGGGGAGGAAAACTGAACAGGGAATAGGGCAGGGCAGGATTTTCGTCTACCAGCTGCCAACAAATGCTAATTTGCACCACTTTGAATGCCAAAACTTTCCCTTAAGAGCTACCAGCAAGAGGGATAAATGTGGAATGTGTCAGAAACACCAAATTAAAGCAGAGCATGGCTTCATATCAATATTCACATCCTAATATGCCCAGAGATATTAAAAGAATATCTACCTCAGTATAAACAGTAAAGCAAAATCGATGATGGTTGACAAATTTAAATAATTTTACTCCCATCATATTGCCCAACCCTAGCTGGTGACCCTTCTCTGAAACAGTTGAAATAAACAAATTTTAGACCAAAGTACTCGTTCTTAAGCAATCACATCACATTTGAATTTTGCATCTTCAATATGCTATTACCCCCTTAAAGACTGTGATCACACATTTTCCAATTAACAGAGGAACCTTACAGCTGTGTTAACTGGCGGGAACCCGCTTTGCTGTTGTAGTAACCAGATCTCCATGGAGATTTCACACCAGCCACGCAGGACAGCTGCTTTCACGGGGCATGTGATTTCCATCCACTGTTGGACTTAAATTTGATACATTGTCATTTAATCAGATGAGAGCTATTGAGGCAGTTACGTAGTCCACTGTTACACTGTCAGTTTGATTAGTTTGGTCTAAACAAGGTTGGAAATTTGACTAATGCTTCAAATACATAATGTGATATTATTGAATGCTAACAAATTATTATTTGTTGTGTCTTTGTTACTGTCGAGTACAGTTGTTGATACACCTGAAACATGTTTAAACTTTAAAAAATAAAAAACCGATGAAGGAAACCCCCACTGATTAAACCTATGGGGTAACAGTTAGTTAAGCTAGGTAAGAGAGGAAGTAAGACTTTGGCTGCCTCATGCCTTCATCTATTTATTGCACATGACCTACACATGAGCAACATGTGTGCCTTTTATAGCTGTTATATGTGAAGTGGGCACGAGGGATGATAGTAGAGCTTAAACAGGAAATAATTTTTGGGAACCCTCGAGGGAAAGTTTCATACCTCACCAGGTGGCTCAGAATTTCCAGCAGTATCACAGCATGGAAAGCACTTCCACGTTCCTGTTCCCATCTGCCACCTGTCTATTAAGTCATCTTGCCAGTTTTATGGTAGGCTTCTTAATTTAGACTATGACATTTGCTTTGGACTGGCTTTTTTCTTTGACTTAATTTTATAGTAGAGTTCTACGCCTCCAAATAAACCTCTTCAATACCTCTGTTGGTCAAGTCAAATGTTGATACTATTTTCAAAGCTGAGTCACTGCATATTCCATTAGTAATTACATGGTAAGCATCTTCACATACCAATAAGTCAAGTCAGTCTAGCACAATTAACACGTGTTAAAGAAGTGTTAACAGCTTTAGGTCAGATGATCTCAGAGTCTTGGAGGAGACTACAAAGAGAAACCAAAGTGTGAATACATTTTTTCTACGTTATGGGGTGAGAGTAAAGACTTGATTTTGGAGATTGTCAGTCACCTCCACCTCCCCTCCCCTGTTTTAATGTCTATACCTAGCAGCTGAAATTGAAAACTGTAACAGCGACTTCCGCCTCAACAACTCTCCCCCTTCTCTGGCGGCCGAAATTCAGAGCTGTTTCAACTGCTTGTTTAGCTTAGCAAGTTTCCGAAGTGGAGAGTGACAGAATAGGGGATATGAATGAGTAATAGGGAGTCTAAATTTGCCCCAAACACTAATCAACACTGTACTGTACTTACAAGTTGTATATGTAGTATTTGTTTTGTTTTTTGGCTGATAAAAGAAAAATTTTATTCATCGTTAACCAAAACCAATGTCTCTTGTGCCCAATTATTTTCCTGACATCCCTTTAGTGGTATAGCAGACACTGTTAACACTGGGATATCTTACAGATGATTAACATAGCTTCTGCCTGCCTTGTCTTGTAGCTGGGAGATTATTGACTCAGGCCAGGATAGCCGGTCTGGGACTGGACCTCAGCTCAGCGACTCCCTCAAACTCTTCCTCCAGGAGACGTCGGCTTTCAAACAGCAAAACCCGGGCAAGGTGAGGCAGCAGACGACCTCAGACTTACCTCAACTGTTCACTGTGTCACTGCTATACAGCATATGGTTGTCAGGGTTTTCTGTAGGTATTTTCAGATACAAAAAACCTTCACCGGGACTTGAAATTGTTCCAAGGATTAAATTAATCAGTGCAGTTGCTGGTTCTTGATTCAGTTTAAAATTGCAATTGATTGTTGAAATGTTTTAGAAAACTTAACAAAACGTTAATCAGGTCTAAATGCACTTAATTAGACTAGTATTAGAACTGCATCAGTATACATATTTTGTGTCATTCTCTTGTGTGTTTGCTTTCTTTCCCTTCTAGTTTTGCCTGCTGGTTTGCAGTTTGTGCACCTTCTTTGCTGTCTTAGGACGCTACATTCCAGGGATCGTTATCTCATATATTTTAGGTGAGCAAATATATGTATATGCTTAGACTAGAATATCCACCACAGCTAGAGGATGACTGCATATTTGTTTATCCTGGTTTTGGATTAGTGTCATGACGCCATGAAGCTATAATGTATAGCTGTGTGTCATCAGCATAACAACAATGAGAGATATCAAAGGAAAAAACAAATCAGAAAACAAATAAAGTTTAATTTACTAAAGTTTTTTTTACTTTTTAATGTGCTTTTACAGGGAGTATGTTAATTGTTTTTCTGGAAACAAGCAGTTATCTTGACGTATTTTTCTCTCTTGACTTTGCTTTGCAGTTCTGGGAGTTTTCCTATGGCCTCTGATTTCATCTCACGAGGTTGGTTTGTGGCTGGAGCCAGTTCTGCAGAAGCTGGACTTCGGCATTGGGGAGTTCATTCAAAAAATCAAAGAGAACCATGGTAACTATCAAACGTGTCAAGATGTTATATGTCAGAAACTGTTTTGTGCTCTATTTCTACCAAAGAAACTGGAAATGTAGAACACTTTACTTTCATAAAGGAGCCGTTAAACAGAAGAGTTCAGAGCAGCAAATGGAAATGCTATCATGAACTGGATAAAGATGAATTCTCAATATTAGCAATACTAGCATCACAGACATTTAAACATAAAACGTTGTAAACCTTGAGCCTATCCTTTACTTTTTGTATTCAATACAAACTATTTTAGTTGAATATTGAACTAAAAAACTAAATGTTTTCTTTTCAGAGAAGAGAATCATGCAGGCTCAGACTGAGAAAGAGGGCATTGAGTCGGACCTCTCTTCAATGTTTCCCAAGGTTGGCTGAACATCTCATCTCAATCTAATTATAATCTGTTGCCTGACAGGGTCCAGTTAAAGCTAATTGAAATTCAGTACACATGCTTCACATCAGCATAGAAAGTGATGCCAGAATGACGCCAAAAGATGCTTTTTCAATGTTTCTCTTCAAGCTAAACACCTGGTTACAGATTACACTGACTGAATGTGCTTCCCTCAAGATAGGATCCTTTATAACATCGTTGTATAAATAAAGTGGATGTGGGAAGCCCTAAGAGGAAAGTGAGAAAATAAAGTCTGATCTAAATTATTTTCTCTCCTGTGTTTATGACTTAAGAACAGGTGAATAAAAAGGTTTTACCAGGAAAAGCTTTTTAAGTTACCTAATTTTTTTTTAGCAAGTTATGTAACATTACTGCCATGGCTTTGTTTTGGCTAGAAATTATTTTTAGTCTGCAAAATTAAACTCACCTGGAAAAAAAAGTGACTTTGGCATTATTTATATCCTGTTTAACAAATGAAAAAAAACATAGAAAGATTGACAATTTAGATCAGACTTAAAAAAAATGATCATCAGTGGTTTTTTTTCTGACTTGCCTCTCTAACGTAAAAAAGGGTGTCACATGCACAAAAATATCTGTTTTAAATGTCTTTAGTTGTTCTGATTTGCCAGCCAACATACTTTCATACCAGAAAATGGCAACGGCACTCTAAAATCTAACGTCTCCATGTGTTTCCCTCATTCAGCTCGACTCCACAGTGTGTAAGGAAATGTCTGTATCTGACACAGAGGTGTCTGACGTGACGTGGACAGACAACGGTACTTTCAACCTGTCAGAAGGACACACACCGCAGACTGAGAACTCAGAGGGTACGTTTGTCAGCTACAGACTGACACACAGTTATAAAATAAAGATGTTGGCTATCTAAAATGAAAGTTTTGACACATAAATGCACATCTGATTAAACAGATGCGGTTTTGTAGTTAAAAGTTAGGCAACTTATTTAAACAAGAAATTTGTTTATGCACAGTGTCACGTGTAGTTTTTTTGATTAACAAGACAAACAAAATCTACTATACACTATAAACATATACTGTATAATATATGAACATCTGTGAAGCCTACACAAAAATATTTATTCCCTACATATTATGTTTTAAAAAAAGAAAACTACAGTTCAACAGTGAGAATAAATAACTTACAGGTACAATAGATGATTCACAGGGATTGTTCCTGACACTGTGTGTCTGGGGTTTACTGTTCATTAAGTAATTGTAAGTAGCTTCAATACAGTAAATGTTCATATTGAAATATTAGTAACAATATACATTTTGTTCTTAACACAATTTGCAAAGATGTCTCTGCCAGAAACTTGTGAATCACTACATGCAGGGATTTAGGATTTGACATGCAAAGGCCTGTTACTGCCTGTGGTGCAGGGCTAATCCACCAGAGGGCAGAAGACATGTATTAGATTGCATGCAGTAGGTTGTTTAGGATGTTGACTCCAGACGTGCATTTCATGTAAAGCACACTAAGCTGTTCTTTCAAAATCCAATTTTAATGCCCTTAATTTTTTTATCCATTTATTTCTCACAATATCAGTAATGTAGGATGGATTGAATATTGTATTATATCTAAGAAGTTCCAATATTCAGATTTTAGAAAATAAATAACTAATACTAAATTTCTTTTCACACACTGTGAACCTGTTGTGACCTCAACTCCAGGGGTAAACAGCCTTGTCCAAAAAGAAGCCTATTTAGGATGTATGATTGTTAAAACAAACAAAAAAATACATAATACAGACAAAAAACAAAACAAAAAACAGATTTCACAGGAAATAATCTGCCTTAAAATTATTCTAAATTGCTGGTTTTACACAAACTTCCAGCAGTTATTGCATTCGCTATTTGGGTTCTTTGTACACTTTATCAGTTGTTCTGTTTTGTTATTTTTAGGCATTGAATATAATATGAGATAACCATAAAATACGTCACTTGTCACTTTACTCAATGATAGAAAAAGTTTTGAGCTACTGCTGTCACATCCTTGCTCATTAACAATATTACCACAGCTTCTTAAAAAATCTTTCTTTTTACCTCAACCTCACAGACCTCGACAGAGAAGAAGCGTTCACCGGCGGCCTTCCAGAATTCCCCTCACTTGACAATGGCACAACGACCAATGGCGACGACGACGATGACCTCAGCCTCGGCCTTCCCTCACCTCAACCTCAGCCCCAGAAGCCAATCAAATCCAAGCATACACCCTCCCTTTACAAAGACCAACCCACTGACAAAGCCCTCGAATTAGTTAACCAGATGGCGGGCGATGTCATCGCTGCCGCTGTCACAGCTGCCATCCAGGAGAGGATAGAAGCAGCGGTCGGCCTCACGGCGCTGCGCGAAGACTTGGAGCGGTCAAGACTTCCAGAATCCTCCAGGCTGCTGGAGCTGGCCGAGGAGTCGGACAGCGAGGTGGAGGACTTTGAGCTGCTGGACCAGTCGGAGCTGGAGCAACTGGAGGGGGAGCTGGGGCTCGGGGAGGAGAAGGTCCAGGCCAAAGAGGAAGCCAAGAGTGACCAGCCGGCCTCTTCTGGATTCTTCTCCAAACTCCTGAGACGCCAATGATTAGTTAAAAGTACGGTCGGCAAGGGAAGAGGACTGGTTACAGAGGACATGTGCAGGGGAGATCGGGGTGTTCTGGTCACGGAGGACTGTTGGGGGTTAGGAGTAAACCATTTTTCCATTTATCTTTCTCCTGTAGAGCTAATAATATCAACATTTCAAAACTGATCAGTTTGTCAAATATGGAGGTTGAAGTGACATCACGTAAATTTAGAATCATCCCAGCCTAATGCCGAGATCAGAGTGCACAATATCAAACCAGATAATGGCACGACCCGATAGAGGTGGGAACGTAAATGAGCGTTGGGTTCCACAGTTGCTTGTTTTATCCTGCATCACATCACAAAGACCCGTCAAAAAGGCGACCGCATGATTCCTTATCTCACCTACAACAGGTCCCATGATGATTTTGGAGAGGTGTGAGGAGGAAATTAACTGAAAACAGGGATGGTGTTTCTCCTGTTCATATATTTATTTATTTATCTATTTATTTTTTAACATTTATTTACTTCCTGGTTGTGCACCCCTACTGCGCAGCAGCCAACTCAGAGCTTTTTTGATTAGCCTACTGGGCAGGTTTTGTAACGTGTAATGATGGATAACGAATCAGTCACGATGTGCAGCTTCTCAGGTTCGTGGTGTGTTTGCAAAACTGGAACCGGGCCTCCTAATGTCCTCCTATTTTCCAAATTCGTTGAAAAGAATTGTTGCTGCTTCAAGGCATACAGGATGAAACATTTAGTGTGCCTGATAACCTTCTGCATGTATATCATGGAAGTTGAGAAGGACAGGAAGCTACGATCGGTCGGACTCCAACCTTTAGTCTGCAACGTCTCAATTGAGTAACGGCAAGAATTTATGATCCATTGATCGCCTAATGTGACTGTAATGAAACACAAAAACATTGTGTAGTCTGATCCCGGCATAAAAGATCAGTGATGGTTTAAGGTGTAAGGTCTTACTTCTGGTTTTATTCAAATTGCTGTGGTTACATTTGTCTTTTCAAAGCAACTTCTTTTATGGCGAGATCAGTTTAGCATTTTTAAGCAACATGTTAAAGAGTTGTTAGTTTTTAAGCAAATAAGGCCATTTTTAGGTGTTTATTTGTTTATTTGTGAACAATCTCTGCATTTGCAACTGTTCTATAAACAATAAACTAGGGATGCCCAAACTTTTTTCCTTGCAGGGCCAAAAACAAGCACTTGTATTGTTAAAGCTGCAGTCATTTTTATAAAAATAACTTTGTCATATTTGCTGAAACTTTCAGTATATCCTGAAAGTAGAACACGAGACCGATAATCTGTGAAACAATCAGGTTCCTCTTAGTGGCTTCTAGAATCCACGGGCTTGAACGAAAACAACCATTGTGTGTAACCATGTATTTATAGATTATCTTTCTCATCTTCTACTGTCAGGAAAGAGTGAAAGTTTCAGCAAATATGACATAAACTTGTTTTTATAAAAATCAAACAAAAAAAGAAATTTAAATATAATATAAATATATTGAATATGTAAAAACATTTATATAAAATGTTTGATCTGGTTGTAATCCAAGCCTGGATGCAAACTGCACTGAAAAGATCAGTTTAACTGCAGCAAAATGCATATAAACCTGTGGTTTTATTTTGGGTCAAACAAGTGGAGACACTTCCTGTTATATATGACTGATGCGATTAGTTTCAGATACAGTAATGGGAGACAGCTCACAACACGCCTAACACTCGCTTTGCTGTTGAATTGATTCATCCAAATACATTACCCAGAATTCCACAGACATCAAATCGAATGACAATCACTCAGCAATCAAAACACCTTTAATGCTCAAAATTATATAGTATGAAACCTTTTTTATGTTTTATTATTTTATTTTTTAATTTTGTATGTGTTTTTTTTCCTAAAACATTTATGTAGTTGAAGGACTTTTATTTTATTACAACATTCAGCAGATCTCAAAATACTATGCATGGAAAAATCTAATCATTTTGAGACATAAATAAACATAAACATTTTACTTCCAGTGCTTCAGGCCCTTGTATTTCACAGCCCACAGAAGTGCATAGAGAAAAATGATTTTGCATTCGGATCATCCTCTAGCTAATCAAACTATATTTAGATTTTCATACGTCTAACATGACAAAGGTCGTTGTTGTCAGTCGTCAGACTTGTAGTTTCCTGACTGGTTCGGCTTTAGCGTTCAGTGGATGTTTCTCAGAAAATATCTCCAAACAAAAACAGGTTAAGAGTTACATTCCTGCAAAGCAACTGCAAAAACTCACAGTGAAAAAGGAGTTTCAGCCTCAGGAGCACATCATTTTTCTGGCTTTATCACCAAGTCAAATGATAAATAGCAAAAATTTAAAGCTACAGTGAGCAACTTATTTCTGCATACTTACACAGATTGTCAAATCTGAGGACCTCTGGCCTCCTTAGAGACGTTAGTGGGTAGGGAGGCAACATGTGAACATTATGAACTAAAAATCCATCCTACACCTGTAGCTATTACTATACACATGTATTAGAAGGATAAACCTCTTGAGATGAACCATCTTGTTTTCCTTAACACAAATATACAGAAAATACAGTATATAAAGCAAAACAACACAAATACACACATAAACAAACAAAAGCTCACACACACAGATTCAATTAGAAATACCAAAATTCGTACAGTAAAGATACACACAGTAAATGTACACATGCCCATACAAAGCTATGTACATGCATACATTTATGTACATACATACATTTATTTTAGAGATAAATTATTTCTATAAATTGAGTGCAATTAGAGGCAAGAACATTTAGTTTGAAGATAGTTGGTACCCAGCCAGTCTGGTCTAGTCTTGGCTACGAACTGAGCCCATGAAGACCATGTCAGAAGACTCAAAATTAGACTTAAAATTAAGTTTAGTTTTCATGCACTGAAAGTAAAATGTTATGAGAAGGCGATTTACGACTTAATTATTATTTAACGATGCACCTACGTAGGGCAGTCTGCTGTGTCAAACATCAGTCGTGGATTCACTGAGCGAAGATAAAATATGACTGAACTGTTTCTTTAACATGCCATCAACATTTAAAGACATTGTTTTTTATAATAAAGACACACAGCAATGTATAATGTATCCTCTTGAATTAATCATGTAATGCCTTGTATTAGCATAACTCTGAAGATACTAGAAATATGTGTTTATCAGTGCCTAAGAGGACTTTGTAGTGGCTGCAGTTAATTTCTAGCTCACGTGATAACTGTATAAAACAAACAAATGTTCCAATCTCTGAGTAACAGTTCTGGCTTCACTAAATGACTAAGACATTTTTAAATATTTAGTAAACTGATAAAAATTATTAATGTTTTTCATTTACCTTCAGGTTGTATCATGGTGGCTTCCATGCAGTTGTCTGAATGTGAGAAATCCTTTGAACTTCATTCAAAAATAAGTTGGCGGGTCAGAACCAAACTGCATTAGAAAAATGTACTTTTATGTAATTAAACTCAAGAATGTCAATAAAATGTTGTAACACAGTCTGTAGCGTCACTGATTGAACTGAGTGTGTGTTTGTGAATGCAGCAGAACATTTGTTACTCGTGTGGGGACACAGTCACACTGTGGGGACACAGTCACACTGCGGGGACACAGACACATTGCGGGGACACAGACACATTGCGGGGACACAGACACATTGCGGGGACACAGTCACACTGTGGAGAACACTTGATGTTCTCTTGTAATGTATCCAATTTCTTTTTTCATAATTGGGTGCTGAGTTATAATTTGATTATGCTCTGACTTATAGTAATATTAGCTTTGGTTTTGTAACAGACAGAAAATTATAATCTTTATTTACTAACTTACTACTACTTACTAATAATTGCCAAATTGTACAAAATGTGAATTTCTAAAAAACACCCCTCGCTTTATTATATCATTTATTCTCGATATTGATATTTGTGATTTGATTGGATCCCAGTCAGAAGATTAGATGGATGTCTTGTACATTTTATTTTATTTGGTTATTTATTTTTATTGTCTGAATATGTGTGCTGTTACTGGACTGATTTTCTGTGTCTGAGTTTCTCTTTAACCAGAAATTGTTCCAAAAGTAACAAAAGCTGTGAGATAAATGTAGTGAAGATACTTTGTGTATACAGGTCAATTTTATTTATGTATACCAATAACACAAATAACACCCTGTACAGCATGCGACACCCTCTATCCCTAGACCCTTGATTCAAATCAGAAAATAAGGAATATGAGTCCTGTTGGTTCATGGTTCTTTTTTTATTCACTATTAATAGTACACTCTGTTCACCCATCCCACCCATCCCATCAGCATTTACAGGAGATATTAGTGTTGCCTTTGAAATGTAGTTCTTCACAACATGATTTTTCTTCACATCAGATAAATCTCTCAATGCATCTGTGAATGTTATATAAACTTAAAAATCAGACACCATGCTTTCTGTCCTTTATTAAACAATAAATTATGTTACACAAATGGCACAGTTATTTACACCCATGAACAAACTATTATTATTATTATTATTATTATTATGCAGCGGATCATCATAACATATTGGAGTGTTAAGACTTTGTGTAGAGCTAATTCGATTTTTATTCTGATTTACAATAGTCCAAAGTTACAGGTTTTACTAACTGGAGTCCTGATTCGTGTTGTGATCATGTATTATCATGTACAGAATATTGTGTTTTGTGTGGACCCCAGAAAGCATAGCTACTGCTTCGGCTACAGCTAATGGGGTTCCTAACAGCTGAAATCAAATCAAAACACATACCCAAAAAGTTTGTCAATTGCGTTACCTATTAGGCCGAAAAATGAAGGACTTTTCTCAGCTTCCTGTCGAGCCTGCATTTCGTGACTTTTTCTCATTTCTATCATTTTTGCCCCCAATTCTCTTTCCAAGTTTTCCCTTAACTTTATTCTTTCCATGTCAGCCTTCACTTCTCTCAGTTGTTGCTCGTACTTTTCCTTTATTGTCTTCTCCAGTTCCTCCCGCTCTTTGCGCATTTCCTCTTCTTTCTCTTTCAGGATTTGTTGTTTCCTTTCTTCAATCACCTTCTCTGCTGCTTGGAACATTTCA